ATTCGAAATGAAGTTCCCCTAACAATGTTATCTCAGGAGATTCATCGAAACCAAGTTTCTCTTCGTATCTTAAATTTGGCAGTTTATATTAGACACTTATGTATGCTGGCTTTTGCACAAGATCACACTTTTTGCCTCCATTTTAGGAACAACTCAGGCTGGCCGACAGATTGTCCAGCTTTGCCCCCTACGCATCATCTTCTGCCGACTTTTCTTCCAACGACTTTCAAGTGGGACAGACTTCTGGTCTATCCGGTCAGAGAACTAGTTACGGTCAGGGCGTCTCCAGCCTGATAGAGCCCTCTGTGGAGGCATCGGTGCGCTGGCCATCGGCCCTCTGCAGCTCGCCTGTCCAATGGTCAAATTGCGGTGGCAGAATCAACTCGTTGAATGCAGGCTACTCATCCTCCTCCACATCTTCCGTATGTGCGTTGGGGAAAACCGAACATGTCCTCGGCCCCAGGGCACTCACAAAGTCTTTGAGCGTTTGCAGCAGTGCAAATTCTAGCAGCAGTGAGTGTTGCAATTTGAGCCGACCCCTCGTTACAACAGCCCCCAGTTTCCGGAATGCGTTAAACGCCTCGTCTGATGGCAATTTGGTCGGTGGGGTCAATCAGGCGATTTCGACAACCTCCACAAGCCAAGCATATTCCTTCTCCAAAAAGGGGCAAGCCGATCTGGTAGGATGAGAATGAGTAATGCAATTTTATATTCCACTTCAGGGATGGAAGGTTTGTCTACAAAACCAATATCTCAAATACTGATGAGCCCATAAGAGTCTTGAATGCCTTAGGCAGGAGCACAGGAGCTGTATTCACCTTGTTACGTTTAAGTTGATGAAGGGCTGGTAGTTGAATTTTCCCACAATTATATGCGTAGGCCTCATGCTTCCATCCTATTTCACAATACCTTACTATCCGGGCTCCAGCACTGCTGGAGGTGCTGATGGGACCAGTTCAGGTGAAGTCTGGATGGGGATAACTTTTTGGAAGCAAGAATACATGAAATTCAGTGTAAACGTTAGGCCTATTCATAGTTTTGTGGGAAAACTCAACTACCGATTCTTCATCACTTTAAACTAAATAGGGTAAATATAGCTCTTAGTTAAGCTATTCTGCTAGTCTCGTATTCCAACTTATAAACGACAAATCAGAGGGCTTGATGATTTTCCAATTTGTCTGTCTCTTATTAGTAACCGAAAGCCTTTTCAGCAAATCTGTTTTATAATGACGCAAATAATAAATAAAGTCTCACTGAAAGTAAATGCGGAAGGCTATTTTTCCCGCTAGCAAAACAAGATTAGGGGAATATAAGATACATTATATATATATATTATATTATATATAATTTATATTATATATTATATTATATTATATATTAGATATAATTTATATTATTCAAGTATTTAGGAGAAATTCTTATTTTTCTACTTAATTTAGCAGTTTTCTTCTCTATTAGGGTTGCATCGGCTCCATTCACATTTGACAATTATTTTGTGTTCTAAAGAATCACACGATAAATGCTTATTCTAAAGCTGTAGGAAAGTTGTTTCACTTGAGAATCAGCATAAATAAGCGCTTGTAATCAGTATCAGGAAAAAATATCAAAGTAGGATATTTTGGCTCTCCATAAATTATCTTTCTAGAGGCTCTACTATGACAAAGAATTTAACTTAAGCCTTCTTCCTGAGGGGCATTTTCGTCCGAAGTGGTCTTCAGCTTTGACCTGACTTGGGTCATATGCAAACTTTCAACGGGATTAAAACCGCGCTTGTGCGCATCGATGGTTCCTCACTAGTTGCCTATTCGGCCACTCTGACCGGGCCTCAGTGACTCATAGAGCGCTCGCTTTAAAGACGAGTCAGGCTTGTCCAAATCTACCCTCGAAGGGGGAACGAGAGTCACCATGGCATATTCGTATTTGCGATTAAACTCTATGATTTTAACTGAAAATCGGCCAGGGTTGTTAGATGTAGCACTCCGGACACAACCAACTAGACTTTCCCGCATATGTGTTCCTACTATAATGACTCAGTCATTCGGGGTCGCATAAGGTGAGTTAAGGACTGTTGACGGAGTCTTTCCCACAATTCTATGAATTTTCTACCCCCAAATACCAGTGCATTTCACTTAGACTCGCCTCCCAGAAGGTTTTCTCTTCTAAATTTGGTGGAAGTTTTGACCTCAACCAGTTCTCATCAGCATCAATAACGTAATGGGACCCAGGCGACTTTTAAATTGCAGTCATGCCTTGACTTGAACAAATTTCGGATAAATTGCCTATAATACATGATGTAGGCCTAATTAATTCCGAAATAGACGCTATTTAGTTACCTTATAGTCTTTTTGCTATGAAGAGATGACTCCAAGTCAATGCTTAAACATTTTTCTCAGGGATTAGATGCTGGAGATGCGTGTGGGAGCTGAGTAGGCTAGTGTAACTCTGCGTGAAAACATGAGCGTAAAAGCAGTGAAGGCATGTTTAGGCAACTGTCTCAAAGTCTCTTCTAGCCAAGACAGATGTATTTATTTTTATTCCTCCATCAAATTTCATTGTCAAGACAAGTAAACTTTACAAACTCCCCTAATACTATGAGTTGTGTTTACCTTATTTCGTGTAAGGTGATGAAGGACTGGTAGTTGATTTTTCACACAATTATATGAATAGAGCTGATGTTTCCCATTGAATTTCACATAACCTTGCTTTCCCAAAAGGTGTTCTCATCCAGAGTAGACTGCAGTATCGACCTCGCCTAGGTCTTATCAGCACCCAAAGCGGGAGTCGAACCATGACAGTGTAGCGTGTAAGCTCGGCACGTTAACCACTACGCCACATTGACACCCTCAATACTAGTCTAATCTTTAAGGTTTATCTTAACTTTGTCATTAAATATGATAGACTTGGTATCCACCCAGCAGTGATCGAGTACACTCAATACAGTTTAGTTAGGAGCGGACTTTTAGTGAAATCCCATTTATATTAGCCAAATGGTAACAAAATTACTATTGATAGCAGTACGTTCAGTAAGTAGACAATATTTTACATGAAAATACTGAGATGTCATCTAAATCCATGCATTTATATGATTAGTAGGTTTATAGCGATATCTATGAAGATGAGAAAAGTAGGTTGGATAATAGGTCAATGAAATAATTATCAAGATTTTCAGTAGAATATTTTTATCTTTATTTGTTTGGGTAGTTGTTTGACCTTGTTTCCGCAACTGGGTTGTTTTGGCAGGAAAATCTAAAGGATTACATTTAGTCCGGAGTCCGTAGTAGGCATGATAATTTCCATAGTCGGACCGTGGATGTGGTACATTCCCAGACGCTTCGCCGGCATCGTCAGTCAGCCTTGTCACTCTTAGCACCACACTACAACTCGTCAAAGAGACAAGTAAAGTCGATCCTTTGACTAATTGTCTGCTAAACAGTTGTGGTATTTCTCCTAGTATCTTGGACTATTCACCTATCCTATATCCTCGTACCACCCCTTCCCTATCGCAATTTCTTAATTGCTTATTTAAATGTGGTATGGTGTGCCCTTTCGAGCGAATTTAGCGAGACCTCTTCACATCCCACGCTGGCTTTCTCACCCAACTCCTTACCATTGCGCTGGAAAAGTTTATCCGAATCAGCCATATTATACCGCAATCCACTTCCCATTAGTCCTATCAAAGTCTCCCTACTGTCCCGTAGGATCCGTCTCCTATCTCCAAAGTTGCGCAAACAAGGCCAAACAATTACTATACAGCGAAAGGAGACCGCGACCATACAAATGTCACATCATCTTGGCCTTCATACCTTCGTTTTTTTTATTTGTCTGCTATTTTTTATCCTTACTTGTATTTATAGTTAATTCCTCGTTTTATTAATTCATTTTACATAATTCAAGACAAAAGAAGGAGAGGAATAAAGGGATAAGAATATTATTTTCTGTACAAGCTGCTTTCACGATTATCAGAAATTCCCGAAGCATAAGTGACTCAAACTAGGTCGCATCAGGTGATCTAGAGACTGATAGTCGATTTTCTCCGCACTCAAATAAAAAGGTCCCTCGAAGTAAGTGAATCTTTCGTAGTCTAGCCTCCAATAAAGGTTGTCTAGTAAAATTTTAGTGTCACCGCGACTCACGACTCGGTATCGAGGCTAGTTGGCTAAGGCGAGACTTCAGTGTAGCCTAGACTATAGTGCCTTCTGAGAAGAAAAGAGTAAACGAATTCACTTTTTTTCGTAAGGCATTAATTAACCTTAAGCGACTTCGGTTAATTACGTTTTATAGGAAAATCATCTTTTCTTATCCTTCCACTTCATCCATTTACT